GAGAGCAAGCTTCACCCCCACGTAAGTGGCACTCAGATGAAATGTGCTTGGATGACAATATTCTTGAGCTTTGTTAAACCCCAGACCCAAAATTCCAGCACGACCTTCCTGTCACCTAAATGGACCTCCACATCTCAGGGCCTAGGAGGTAACACGTGACTTTCTTGTCTCCGCAGTGTCAAAGGCCCCTGGCCTGTAGGTTATCAATGTCATCATTCTTTCTCCCAGTCTCGCACAAGTCATTTTACAGTTACCTATTTGTTCAGAATCCAACTTAAAAAGTTCCATTTGCTAGTATTTCTGCATTTGCAGCTGCATCTCTTGTAAGCCAGCTGCTGTGGTGCCACGTCCCGTCTAGGGTGCTCACGCTGACCCTCCTGCTCTAGGTGTGCTTTGCCTGTGTGGATGGGCTGGAGTTCCGCCTCGCACAGGTGTGTGGCCTTCACATTGTCATCCATGCAGAGGAGCTTGAAGAGCTGATTTGCTATTACCAGGTGACCAGATGGCCTCTGCTGGTGATGCAGGTGATAGGGGATACCTAAATGCTCCCAGAAAAGGGGCGGTCGCTCCCTTGGCGTGTGACCGTCTTGGTGTGGCATCTGCACATGAGCATATCTGAAGCATTGCCTCTATGGGAAAGATTCCTTTCATGTGCTAGACAGTTGTTCATAAATTGCATGAGATTGGCCTATTAGCTATCCTGGACCTCATGGCTGGCTGGTATTTTGTGTATTTCAAGTTCTCTCCCTTCTCTTGTGTCATTGGGCCTTCAGAAGCCTAGTCAGTGGCTTGCCCAAAGGGGACAACCCTGTATAACTTGCCGAGAACACTGTGCTGGTCATGGCAGAGCCCTGGGCCATAGCCTGGTTCCCCATGGTGTGCGGCTCCCAGAGAGTGTGTTTATCAAGTGCCGTGGGGACAAAACACGTACAAGAGAGGGAACCCCAGGGTGACCCTGTGGAAGGGTAGGGCCCTGCGTGTTGATAGTGCAGTGGGGCCCTGCTCTTGAGTGATCGGTAGACAGTCCTTCAAGTGTTTAGGTACCTGGGCCT